GTAGAAAAGAAATCAATTCCTTTCCCATTTAAAGAGTGGTAAAAATAACATTTACCCTTTTCTAAACACCAGCAAAAGGGAATGAACTAATGACACTGTAATGAACCACATTCACGTTACTGGCATTGCCTGCCAGTCTTTTCTAAAACATTAGCAATGTAACTCAGAAATCTCTGTGCTGGCTCACAGTTCACCAGCGTCACTGAACTCCTGATAAACAGCCAGGTTTTTAAATAAGTGTTCGCTTGCAGAAAATGGAACCAGAGCAGAAATTAGACCCCTGTATTCACAGTTATCATTCCTACCTTCATCTTAAGCTCCTACTAGGTATTGAAGGCTGCTAAACTGCACAGTACAAATTGACTTACAAATTGACTATTCCCCCAACATGTGGAAATTCTGAGTAGATCAAAAGATGCCTCAGTCTTGGCAAAGTAATTGTCCCACAGCTGACTCTGCCTGTGATACAGGAATGACATGTTCCTTCTGAACACCCAAAAGGCCCAACACATCTGGGTTGATGTGACACATCACACTGAATTCCTTCCAAAATACCCTGGCAATTGCAGCTTTTACTGCTGGCATCACCAGCAGGTCAAGGGAGGTGAACCTTCTTTTCTCAGCACTGGTGAGAAAAATCGAAGTGCTGGGTGCAGTGCTGGGCCCCCCAGTATAAAAGAGACATGGATATACTAGAGATAATCCAGCAAATGGTTGTGAAGATGATGAAGGTACTGAAGCATCTCTCCTATGAAGAAAGGCTGACAGAGCTCAGACTGTTCAGCCTGGAGAAGAGAAGGTTTCGTATTGTGAAGAAAGGTAACTCCTGTTTACTCTGGTGTCTTACACTGAAAATAAAGACATACATTTGGAGAGGGTTCTGACATCTCGAGGTGTCACATCTGTGTGAGCTTACCAGGATTGCCAGTCCACTTGCAAACTGCTACACCACTTCATAGATGATAAAAGCATTCATTTAGTATTTCCATCAGACAAAGGCACTGCTAACCTTCAGAAGGTCTAGGAAAGCAGCAGGTAGTGAAATATCAAGCTTTTTATTTTTTTTTTACTTCCTTTTATCACCCATAGCTACCAGAAGCACAGTTAACAAGTTCACCAATTGGGCATCTCTTCTGTCAATTTTGGTCTCTTTCATCCACACTACAGTAAATGTCAGATGTTCTAATTGTAACTCCATATAAGAATGAGGTCAGAAGCTTTTTCTGCTGACATTCTCTTTAGAAGAACCTTCAGACAGTCCATTGCATAGAAGGGAGATCTGTGCTTTTTCAGAAATCAAATAACTTCAGTGCCATTTCTTTACAAAGCTGTGTTCAGGGCTACCATTCCCTGGAATTCATCACTAAATGCATACTCAGAGATGTAGCAGTTTGTACCTGGCAGATCACTAACATTTACATGCATCAGAACCATGAAAACAGAGCATGAAGGGACTGTCTTTAGATATCAACAGGATGGGGTTTTCCTCCCTGTTATAACTTCCTCAATTCGTGATCTTTTAATATTTTCTTTAAACTTCCATATACATCATTAGCATACAGTAATTAGCTCTTTTTTTACCACTGATGCCTTAAGCCCCTAATGGTTTTTTATTTTTCTAATAGTTATAAGACTTGTAAATTTTATAGGTAGGTTTTAAAAGCAGAAACCCCTTTGTCCCTTGTTCCTTTCCCTTGTTTATACATTCCCTAACCCTTTTACCCCATTCTATGCCTTCTATATCAACCTACCCCCGAATCCAGTAGCAGTGTTTAGTCTTTTGTCAAGGTAAAGGCCTAGACTGTTTGGAGAACAGCGTATCAGGGCCTAAACCACAGAGTACGGTCAAAAACTAGGTGACAATATACCCTTTGTACTCTGATGAAGCTGAAGATGATGAAGTAGGTGGTCCCAAAAAGACCCCAGACCCAATTCTCAGGGGGAGGACCCGGGGCGGTCCAGAGGAAGGGCCAAAGGGTGGACACATCTGGGATTGGATGGATAATGCTATAAAATGTAACCTCTCGGGCACGGCCGGCGCGCGCGCGTCTATATCACCTATTGCCTTGGCAAATAAACCCTTTCTTATCTCACCCCTAATTAACTGCTCCGGAGATTTTTTTCAGAACCAAAATACACCGGCAACAGTGGTGGCCCGTACGGGGAGAACTGGACCGGGGACTTCTTCAGATTGGAAATTTTCATCAGCAGGAATATTCCTCAGCAAGCCGGCTTTTATCTGAGAGAAATTCCCGCCGGTCTGAGAAGTCCAGCTCCACGGAACCCACGAAAACAAGCACGGAGCATAGAGGTGAGATAAGAAAAGAACGAATCTGGTTAGTTAGCAGCTGCGGGAAAGTTTTGTGTCCCGGGATAGGGGGCACGGATTCCTGAAAATTTTGACTTGGGCCCTCGAAACAGTCTAGAGAGTCAATTTTCAGGGGGAGGCGAACGGGTTAGTTCGCCAATTACCCAGGTCAGGGCGGGTGTTCAGCCTAGGGGCTGTTCTGGTTTTGGAGGGGACGCCCTCCGGTGCTCTGACGCTGTGGGAGAGCCGGTGGGGCTCTATAGTCAGTACGACTTGGTAAATAGCTGAGAGGTTACGTTAACAGCCTCGTGACCTAAAGGTTGTCAGTTCCTAGACCCAGTGTGTTTGACTGGTTTGCTTTTGTTTTGCAAGCATGGGTTGTGTGGATTCAAAAGTTAAGATCCCTAAAGAATCCCCCCTTAGTTTGGTTCTAAAGCACTGGAAAACTTTAACTGGTTCTGAGACACCTTTAAAGAAGGAAGAGCTGTGTAGGTTGTCTCTAAATGCTTGGCCGTTGTTTGGACAAATGAGAGGGATAGCATGGCCGAAATTTGGTCCGTTTGAACTGGATACAGTGTTTCGGTTGATCTCGCTTCTTCATGTAGAACAGAGGTGGCAGGAAATTCGATATGCAGAGTTGTTCTTGTTTTTGTTAACACGCCCTGAATTGGGTATAGGAGATAAGGAAAACGAAAGTTCAGGAAAGATGGAAAAAGCAGAAATGGTTTTAGGAAGAGGGAAAAGGAAAGATCGAGTTAAAGCTGCTCCTATCCCACAAATACTATTTAAGAACACCGGAGAGGATGATTTGGATATGTTGATATCACCTGACAGGAGAGAAAGTAGCCCGGGAGCTCCACAAATCGGACTCCCTGCTGCAGCGGCGGTGGGGGGGGCTGGAGCTGCCGGGGCAGTGGTTGCTCCTCCTGGACCGGCTCCAGCTGGACAGGCGGGAGCCGTGGGGGGACTCCCTGGCGCGGGCATGGCTGCGCCAGGGGGAGTTGGAATCTCCGGAGGAGTTGGCTCCGGGGCGGCGGGAGCTGCTCCGGGCACAATCAGTACAGGACTTGCTGCCATGGCAACAAGTACAGGAGCAGGCACTGTGGGAGTAACAGGGGCAGGGGCCACAGCAGCAGTGGCAGGAGGGGCAGGGGCGGTGCCAACAGGCGGAGCCTCTGTCCTGACTGACTTGGGAGGTGGGGCTGGAGCCGCCCCCTTTCCCACGCCTCCCCCTCCCGAGGGGGAAGCTTCCATCCTTGGGGGAGGGGGAAGAAAAGAAGAACCGAGGGAGTTTCCAATCTCTGCCTCTCACGAAAAGGGAACAGAAACGCACAGACAGGGCAAGCCGATTCCAGCTGCAGAGAGAAGGGAGAAGCGAGGGTTACCACCGTTTGATAAGGACACGGAAGCAGAGGGTGAATTAAGTGATAACTCGGGGGAAGGAGAAGCCGACCAGCCTGTAGTAAAACCGAAAGGAAAATTGGCTCGCGAAGTGTTAGCTTTCCCCGATCCGGTTGCAAGTAGAACAAGGGCAAAAGACAAGCCACCGTTAGAAGCCCCCTTAAGACAAGCCGTGACCAATCAAGGCACGGTATTAATAAAGGCTCCTTTCTCACTGGTTGAGTTACAGCAATGGAAAGATTGTGTGGGGGCTTATAGAGATAATCCGGAAAAGATGGCAAATTATGTCCAAAGAGCAATCAAATCTCAGAATCCTGACTGGAATGATCTAGAGGTTATGATGGATACTTTATTAGACCAAACAGAGAAGGAAATGGGGAAAAGAGCTGCTCAAAAAGCAATAGAAATACAAAAAACCTCTGGGCAGTTTCCAGGCGAAGATGTCAAAGATATCTTCCCCCTCACGGATCCTGGATGGGATCCTAATGTGGCAGCAGGTTTAGGAGCTTTGAAACGTTATCAAGATTGGGTAATTTATGGATTTCGGCATGGAGTTCCGAAGGCGGTGAACTGGTCCAAAATGTACGAGGTTAGACAAGACATAAATGAGTCACCTACTGATTTTCTAAATAGATTGAAAGATGTTATCAGAAAATATACGGATATTGACTTAGAGTCAGAGATGGGAAAGAAAAATCTGTTATACTTATTTATAGGGCAGTCCACAGATGATATAAGAAGAAAACTGCAGAAGGCAGGTGGTGATAGAAGGAATATTAGTGAGCTGTTAGATGTAGCCTGGACGGCATATCAAAATAGGGAGCAGAAAAGGAAAACAAGGGAACAAGAAGGTGGCTACAAAGAGCCTCATAAACGTAACCCCAGGTATCAGAGGTCTAACCACTGGCAGGACATAGCCGATGACAGATGTTCTAACTGTAAGAAGAAGGGACATTGGAGAAGAGACTGCCCGGAGCTGAAGGGAACTGAAAACACACTTCCCCCACCACCACCCCCAGCCCCCCAACTGACTGTGAGTCAGAATGTATGAGGGGGACCGGAGGTTTCTTACCCAGCAGAGCCTCTGGTTACAGCTAAGCTGGGGGGGGAGAATGTTGAATTTTTGGTTGATACAGGTGCGGCATACTCTGTATTAAATACTTTGGAAGGGAAACTGAGCCATGAAACTGTAACTGTGGTAGGTGCTACAGGGGTAAGTGAAACAAGGCCATTTTTTAAACCTTTAAAATTCAAACTGGGCAAACACTGGGTAACTCATCAATTTCTCTATATGCCAAATTCTCCTAAGCCTCTACTGGGTAGAGACTTACTGGAAAAATTAGAAGCTGAAATTAAATTCACCAAGGGGGGAGACATAAAGGTTATAATCCCAGATACTAAATATGTCGAGGCAGCTGCTTTCTTTATACAGGAAAAACATGGAGAGATCCCTGCAGAAGTTGAAAATGCTGTCATACCTTTAGTCTGGGCCAGCGAGTACCCTGGGAAATCAAAGCAAGCTGAACCAGTAAGCATCGCACTCAGGCCAGGAGCAGCCCCGGTAAGGCAGAAACAATATCCTTTGAAATTAGAAAGCCGAAAAGGCCTAGCACCTATAATTGAAAAGTTCCTCAAATTTGGTTTGCTAGTAGAATGTGAATCCAGATTTAATACCCCCATACTGCCCGTGAGAAAGGCTGATGGCAAAAGCTATCGGCTAGTCCAAGATCTTAGGGCCATTAATAGAATAACTGAGGACATTTACCCAGTGGTAGCCAACCCCTATACACTGTTAACCACATTGACAGAGGATTTAGGATGGTTTACTGTACTCGACCTCAAAGATGCCTTTTTCTGCATTCCTGTACACAAAGATAGCCAGGAGATTTTTGCCTTTGAATGGGAAAATCCTGAGACAGGGAGAAAAACGCAACTAACCTGGAGAGTTCTTCCACAAGGCTTTAAGAACAGTCCAACGCTTTTCGGAAATCAGTTGGCAAAGGAACTGGAGGACTGGAGAAGACAGCAGCAAGAAGGAGTTGTCCTGCAGTATGTTGACGACATCTTAATTGCAGCCAAAAACCGGGACCAATGCATCGAGCTCACTGTAAGTCTCTTGAACTTTTTGGGGCTAAGTGGGTATCGGGTCTCGAGAGAAAAGGCACAGATAGCCAAGGAGATAGTCATCTACCTGGGACTTGAAATCTATCGTGGGCATCGGCGACTCAGTACAGACCGAAAAGAGGCCATTTGCCGTCTCCCAGAGCCCCACACTGTACGAGAGATGCAGGCTTTCCTGGGAATGGTAGGATGGTGTCGGCTGTGGATAGCTAACTATGGGTTGCTAGTCAAACCTCTGTATGAAGCCCTGAAAACGGCCAAAGAGGGAGTTATAACATGGACAGATGAGACCAGAGATGTGTTTAAGCAACTGAAACAGTCCTTGATGTCAGCTCCAGCATTAGGACTACCAGATTTGACTAAACCGTTTGAACTGTTCACACACGAGCAGTTAAATGTTGCTCTGGGGGTATTATCACAAACTCTGGGAAGCCAACGAAGAGCTGTGGCTTATTTCTCCAAACAGCTGGACAGTGTTAGCCAAGGGTGGCCGGGGTGCCTGTGAGCTGTCGCAGCAACTGTTATCCTGATTGAAGAGGCCCAAAGCTCACCCTTGGGCAGCACATCACTGTGTATGTGCCCCATGCAGTTCAAGCCGTGCTTGAACAAAAGGGAGGCCACTGGCTGTCCCCCAGCAGAATGCTTAAGTACCAGGTTGTGTTGCTGGAACAGGACGATGTTACCCTAAAAACAACATCTATTGTAAATCCAGCTATGTTTCTGTCTTCAGCACTAACTGACAGTGTCCGCGAGCATGACTGTTTGCAGACTATAGAGGAGACTTACTCCAGCAGACCAGACCTGAAGGATGAGCCCCTGGAAAACGCAGACTGGGAACTGTATACGGACAGAAGCAGCTTCATGCGAGATGGTAAACGCTTCACAGGGTATGCAGTAACAACCAGAGACGAAGTGATCGAGGCAAAAGCCTTGTCAGCAGATGTGTCATCCCAAAAAGCAGAATTAATTGCACTGACAAGAGCCTTGGAACTGAGTGAAGGAAAGAAGGTAAATATCTGGACTGACTCAAAATATGCATTTAGTGTTGTACATGCCCACGGAGCCATCTGGAAGGAGAGAGGACTACTGACAGCCCAAGGCAGGGGAGTCAAGCATGCAGACCAAATCCATGCACTCCTGCAGAGTATTTGGAAACCAGAGGAGGTAGCTATTATGCATTGTAGGGCCCACCAGAAGGGGAAAACAATTCCCGAGTTGGGAAATCAGTTTGCTGATCAAGCAGCAAAAAGGGCTGCAGAAAAAGGCATCTTGGCAGTAGTGCCACAAAAAGAAATTGATTTGACAAAATACACCCCTAAGTATGATGAGAGAGACAATCAGCTAATTAAATCATTGAAAGCTGAAATCAAGGAAGGGGGGTGGGCTGTTACCCCTACTGGACAGGTTGTAGTCCCACCACCGCTCCTTAGGGAAATAGCTCAACAGGAACATGAGGCTACCCATTGGGGAACGGAAAATCTCCTGAAACATCTAAAGAAAACAGTAATAGGAACAAATATGACCGAAGCTGTGCAGTCTACGGTAGGTAAGTGTGAAATCTGCAAACGAAATAATCCAGATACATCAAAGAGAGTGGTACTAGGGGTAACAAAAGCTGGAGACCAACCCGGAGATTACTGGCAAATAGATTTTGCTGAGTTACCACCATGGGGGGGGTACAAATACATCCTTGTACTAGTTGACACTTTCAGTGGATGGCCTGAAGCATACCCCTGTCGCACTAATGCAGCAAGGGAAGTGGTAAAAGCTTTATTAAACCACATAATTCCAAGGTTTGGGGTTCCTCTAGGAATGGCATCAGATAGAGGAACACATTTTATTGCGGCAGTAGTAAAAGAAGTATGCCGCATCCTGGGAATTGTCTGGGACCTACATACCCCCTATAGACCTCAGGCTAGTGGCAAAGTTGAACGAATGAATGGCACCTTGAAAATGCAAATTAGTAAAATTTGTCAGGAAACATCTATGTCCTGGGTTCAGGCTTTGCCACTAGCTCTGCTGAGAATTCGTATCCAGCCGAGGCGGAGGGATAACATAAGCCCCTATGAAATATTATATGGAAGACCATATCAGGCACCACATGTACCAGGGGATGTACACTTAAGAGGGAGAGCCGATTTACAAAAATATTTGATTGCTTTAGGCTCTACTTTGCAGAAGCTGCAGAAGGTCATTGAGTTATCCAGACCTATAGGACTGGACACCCCTGCTCACCCATTCCAGCCAGGAGACTGGGTCTACGTCAAGTGGTGGAACAGTGACCCCTTGAGAGCCAGGTGGAGAGGACCTTACCAAGTCCTGCTGACCTCCCTCACCTCCGTCAAAGTTGCTGGCAGAGAACCCTGGTTCCACTACTCTAGAGTCAAGAAAGCATCAGCTCCTGGGACAACCAACCAGACAGAACCAGACACCGACGACGAGGATGTGGAATAGACTGCTTGTTCTGTGTATTCTGTTCATGCAACCGGTAACCATGAACCGAGTTTGGGACCAAAAATTGCATGTGGCCCTAGTCCAAAACGTATCTAAAATTCTCCGAAAAACGGAATGCTGGATTTGTACTCAAGTACCAGCAATTGACGATGAGAATAGTGAGTGGCCCCTAACAAAATAGAATGGCCCTCAATTTTTTGCTAGCCTCACAAGGAGGTGTGTGTAAAGTCATCAATACCAGCTGCTGTTCTTACATAGATCAGACTGGTAGAATTAATAATGATTTGGCCGCAATTCGAAATCAAACCGAAATTTTTCATCAGATTTCTCTGGATGATGTCTCCCTAGGTTTAGGAGACGTCCTCAACAAACTCACCTCATGGTTACCGAACTGGACATGGATGAAACAACTGTTTATCTTAGTATTGTATATACTTAGTGTTAGTGTAATAGCTCACTGCATACACCGATTTTATAGTTGTTGTAAGTGTAGGTAGTAGAGATTGGACAAAGACCTTTGGGTTTTGTCCAGTCTCTAAGGGGGGAACTGATGCCTTAAGCCCCTAATGGTTTTTTTTTTATTTTTCTAATAGTTATAAGACTTGTAAATTTTATAGGTAGGTTTTAAAAGCAGAAACCCCTCTGTCCCTTGTTCCTTTCCCTTGTTTATACATTCCCTAACCCTTTTACCCCATTCTATGCCTTCTATATCAACCTACCCCTGAATCCAGTAGCAGTGTTTAGTCTTTTGTCAAGGTAAAGGCCTAGACTGTTTGGAGAACAGCGTATCAGGGCCTAAACCACAGAGTACGGTCAAAAACTAGGTGACAATATACCCTTTGTACTCTGATGAAGCTGAAGATGATGAAGTAGGTGGTCCCAAAAAGACCCCAGACCCAATTCTCAGGGGGAGGACCCGGGGCGGTCCAGAGGAAGGGCCAAAGGGTGGACACATCTGGGATTGGATGGATAATGTTATAAAATGTAACCTCTCGGGCACGGCGCGCGCGCGTCTATATCACCTATTGCCTTGGCAAATAAACCCTTTCTTATCTCACCCCTAATTAACTGCTCCGGAGATTTTTTTCAGAACCAAAATACACCGGCAACACCACTTACCAAAGAAATACTATAAATTAGCTTGCAAAAGTAAATTACTTAACTAAGGTAGGGGAAAAATCCAAGGGGAAAGTTCCAAGATGCACCAATGTAAATGTTACAGGGCTTCAGGGGATTAAGGGAATTTTTCTGTGCAACTGAGAGAACTTGGCTTACTTATTATGCTTTAAAGGGTGATGATAACTTTCATATAGTACGACACCCATTAAACCACTAGGCCAAATAGCTCCCTAGCCTGGAGGCTGGCTGAAATCCAGGAAAAGGCTTATGTATCTGACATGACACTTAAATGGAATTTAGCTTCATAAATCCTAAGCTATGATGGAGAAAATGCCATTTCAATGGTCAGATCACCTAAAACTAGAAGTATGAAGGTTCTGTGGGTAGTTTACTCTTTTACTCTGAACCTCTCTAGGCACCTGGGTTCGTATTCCCAGAAACACTTCAGAGTTGAGTAAATTGACACCTATCCTATCATTCATTTGAAATCCACACGTTCATCTGCCTAAGCTGACTGACAGATCTTATCTGTAAGGTCTGATAACTATGAATGTGTTTTGGCTAGGACATGTCAAGGTGGAATGGTGACGTTTTTTCCTTTTAAAAACTGTTGAAGGAGACAAGGAAGACTATGACAGTGACAGCCATTTCTTATCTAGCAACCTGTCCTCATCAAGAAAATAAAAGACTTGGATTTTGCCTCAGTCTGAAGAGCCTAAGCTCAGTATCTACTATGAGACTTGCTCTGCTAGAGTGAGGTACTCTGCATCTCTCCTTTTGAAGCTTTACCACTTTAGAGTAAAGCACACAGGACACTGAAAAGAGGGCAAGCAAAAGAAAATACTTTGGGCCAGTCAATGTGTACACCCCACTGGAATAGGTCCCGTACATGGGTCCCTGTTGTCAAGATCACTTTATACATATTTCATACACATTCAGCATAGCTTGTACAAAATAAAGGAGTGGTTGTAGAAAGCCTTCCAATTCCAGTTGAACACAGTGCTGATCTACACAGTCTTGCTCCTCCTGACACTTGTCAAGTACAGCGGCTCCTCAAGCCTTTGGTGCCAAATACTGTGTTTCCAAAAGAAAGGAGGGGGGGCAGTAAATCATGAGTCATTACACAGAATAATCTGTACCCTGGCGCTTAAGGCCTCTGTTGAGAAAAGTAAGCATGGGTTTATGTATTTGTGTGATCTGCCCTGCAGTGGTGACCCCTGGAAGCACTGTAGTGCAAGGCCAGCATATGCCTGCCAGAAAGCTGACGAGTGCTCTCTAAGGCACTGGGCTTGAACTCGGAAAGAGCACTTGCTTGGACTCAGTCCAGTGTGTTAATTTATGAACTGAAAAGGATCTGGGAATCCACTGCATAAATCCCAAGCTAATAGTAGAATATTCGTATGTAAAAGTTACGCACATAAAAAAATTTTAAATTAGATATAATAAACCTAGTTTCTTTCATATATAAAATTCAGACGGCATGCTAATTTCTTTAATCCCATGTGGTTTTCTCATACCCAGCCACAGGCAATTGCTTCTTTCCCATTCTTTGCCAGCCTACCTGGCTCCACTACAACAGAAGTGCTTAGGTTGCTAAGATGCTAAGCAGCACCTCTTCCACATATGCTAAAACAGAGAGGTAGGTTGTCTCTCCCCAGAACTATGCCCTCAAAAGCAGCTGTTGCACTCATTGTAGTTAATTTACCTTGGCTTTACAACTGATGTTGTTCAGCACTTTATAAGGCAGAGATGCCACAGGCAAGCAACCTGTTTCCCTGCCAACATTTTGTCACCTTGCTTCTTTCACTGTGTTATCCAGCCTCTATAATATGTCAGGTCACCTCACAGTGCCCCGGAAGGTTATTGGTTTTACAAATCTATGGAAGCTTTCATGATTTCCAGAAAATAAAATTTCCAGGAAACACGTTGCTCTTCCTTAGATGTACATCACAACCACATAGGCTAATCTAGTCTACTAATTTTAACAATACTTAATAAATAATAAAATTAGATAATTTCATGCCACAAACAAGAAAACAAACTGTGCTACCATTGCTTAACTGAAGCAACACCACAGTAGAATGGGAAACAAGTAGAACCCTGATACAAAATTCAACTTTTGTCAAACGTTATAGAGTGACTACTCCCTTCTGCCAGCAGCCTGATCTGTTGATGCGGTACCTGGACATTTAGAGGTTTGAAATGATTACTTGTGTGAGTGCCTACAAAAAGGGTCCATATCTGCATACAGATGGTTTTAGACTCAGAAAGATCAACACTATAGGCCTCAAGGAAAAGAAAGATGACTACATCTGAAACAGTATCTAGAAAAAACAGCAATAGCAACAAAAAGTAGTGCCCTGGTAACTGTGTAGGATATAAAGAAAAGTAGTATAATGAAATCATATGAAACATTTTTAATAGGTGTTGTAGAAGCCGATTCCAAAGTGAAAAGCAGTTGTAGAAAGCAACAAGAAGCCCTGGCAATTTGATGGTGTATTTGTTGATAGCCATTTTTGTAAAAAAAATATATGAAACATCAGCAAATAAACTACCAGAATATACCAAGGACAGAAAAATTAAATTAAATACAATATTTTCTGTGTGAAGCAAAACCAGATTGCAGGCTGTACTTAGTTAAACTGTGGATTTGTTTTCTGCTGGAAGACTTGCATTACTTTTGGGACAACATTGCAGTGGGAAATTGAAGGGAGTCTGGAATTTAAAGTTGACATAAATTTTTACTAGAAAGGTGTTCCTAGTAGTCTTATAGTAATAATATTTTTAAAATTAAAACCAAATCATCTTATGAAAAATAGAATTATAGATGACTTACACTGTGCATGTATCTGGAAGGAATTAATTTCAGAAGAATAGTCCTAATAAGATTATTAAGAGTAAAGGAAGAAATCATGAAGAATGATTTCACTGTGTCTACAGTGAGTCGGTGGAACCAGCAGACATATACTTATGCTTATACTAAGGAGAAACATGGAAGGGCTCATGCCCTTAGACACCGGAGCATATTCAAGTGTTATGATCAGTCTTACATCTAACAAGAGAGTGTTTGCTTTCCAAATCCTATTTATAGAAGTATTTCAAACTATATCTACTGGGATTAAAAATGGTCTGTTGGATCCACAGTTGTGGATATTTGGACACAGGACAGATTTATTGTGGATTAAGCTGAACTGTGACAGTGTCTTGCCACAACCCAGCTGACATGTGAGGCTGAGGCACTCCTCTGATCTGAGGTTATGTTTGCCCAGTCACAACCTTGCATGCTATACAGGTATGCCTGAAGCAGCCAGAGAATACAGCCAAGCATGTACAAGACTTTGGACTGTGCCCAGACATCTTGCTGCTGGTGGAGAGAGGTTTGGTGAAATGCACTCTGGAAAATCCCACAACATGTGTATCTGCAAGTTCTAGTGTCTAAAAATCATAGCAATCTGGATCTTTGGAGTGTATTCAGAAGAATTGGTTTTGTTGCCCTTCAGGAAACGGTTAGAGGGCTGTTGCTTCAAGGCATCCCTGTGGAGGAGTCTGTTGCCCTGCTCTTGGGTAAGGGATGCAGCAGGAGAAGATGATCAAAATCTTGGGGCGCTTGCTTTGTACCTGGTTTCCATTTCATGCTCCATTTCAAACTGCTGTAAAGCATGATCCTACTTTCCATAATGATAATTATATCTGTCATTGTATTTGCATCATCTTTGGAGTCACACTCTTTAAATAGTATTATTTTCTGAAATTACTATGATTTATGGGCTAAAAATTTCTCCAAATTATCATTTTGTCACACCATTGTTTTTGAGTGTACTTCTGAAACCAGTAGCAGATGTTCACACATTTATGATCCTATTCAACTTCATTTTAAAATATTTTAAGGCTGCTGACCTCCTTTTTGCTGGCTTTGGACTTATTACCTTTATTGTCGTTTATTTTGCTAAGGATAGTTTATGAGCTTCTGTGGCTGACTAGTAAGAATGCATATTTAAGAATATTTCCTTCTTCAG